GCTTGACTTCTGTTTTTCTTTAATTGTGTGCAAATCAAGCCACCTGTAAATGTTAAAGTTTAAGAGATATGGGGCACTCCTGTAATTCTAGCTACTTGGGAAGCTGAGACAGAAGGATCTCAAGTTTGAAGCCTGGGCAACTTTGTGAGACCCTGTCTCATAATGTTTAAAAGAGGAAATATAGCTCAATGATAGAGCATTTGCCCTGAGTTCAATCTCCAATATAGGAAAGGAAAAAAAGACAGAAAGAAAAAGAATGGGGGAGGGACCTGTTCAAGAACTTGAGAGTTTGAACAAGTCCCATAAGTTGGAAGGCGGGCGTGTCAGAGCCAGAGACATGGCAACTGGTGAATGGAGTAAATATAGGAAATGTGATACATACACACACACACACACACACACACACACACACACACACACACATACCACATATATACCACAGTGGACTTTACTACTTTACTCAGCCAAAAAGAAGAACTAAATTGTGTCATTTGCCAGAAAGTAGATAGAACTTGAGGGCATTATGTAAACAAAATAAGCCAAACTCATAAAGTCAAGGGTCAAATGTTGTCTCTCATATGAGGAAGATAGAAAAAAGAAAAAAAAAGACAGGGTGGGGTGGGGAAGGTGAGGTCTCATGAAAATAGAAGGGAGACCAGTAGAGAAAGGCAATTAGGGGAGAAGGAATAAGGAAAGAAGAGGTATCGGGAAACTAAACTGACCAAATTATATTATTATATTACGTGCAAGTACAAATGTGTAATAATGAATCCTACTATTATGTATAATTATATGGCACCAATAAAATTTTATAAAAAGCTAGAGACATGGGAGAGAGCAATTGCTGGGAAAAAAAAGCATTCAGCTGAGGGCCTTGAAGAACAGTATTCTAAAAGTTTTTTTCTGACCCAAGAAGTGGTTGGAAACCCCAAAAGATAGAACCAGATGAGTTGTGAGGGCAAATTCAACTTGGCAAAAAGCCTAACTAGACTATATAAGGAACTGTAGTTTTAGTCACTTTCAAATACTATACTATGTAACTAAGGCCAGGGCTGCCAATGATCATTGTTGTGCTTTTGTACAAAGTTACAGGCCCTCCACCTTCTTCAAAAACAGTTCCCCTGAGTGTGACTCCTGGCCAGTACTGGCCTTGGACCAAACATGCAGAAACTGAATGGACATAACATGGCACCCAGCCAATGCAAGTATATGCCACAAACAAAAAGACCTTTAACTACCCAAAATAGGCTCAAATTTAAAGGCATGTTAGAGAAAGCCATAATTTATATCAATTTCATATAATTTTTATATGAAATAAATTATATATAAATATATAATAATTATAATTTCTCTTCTAGAAATCTTTCCTTGTTTATATAGATACCTTGTGAAACATGTGCTTCTTTTCTTTATGAAAATGAAATCATGCTGTACATATTAGTCTGCAACTTACTTGTAAAGTGGAATATAATATGGACATGTACCTAGGTTAGAATCAATCTCATTCTGCTTTATGGCAGAATGACATCCCATTCCAGAGGACCCCTAAATTATTGTACCCTTTCTCCATCGCCATAGGGATTTTCCATTGTTGCTTTTATATATAATGCTGCAAACAATATCATTGTAAATGTTCTCTTATCTTGACATGGCATAATTTCAATAGAATAGAAACCTAGAAGTGACACTTCCTGCTCATTGTGTAAGTTTATTTTTTCTTTTAAAAGACCGCCTAATTATTAGATACTAGGGATCCTTACTTCTCTGAGATAGGATCTTTTTATTTGAGCATCTATTATGGACTAGGTATACATGGCACTGAGGGTGAAAATAACCACCCAAATGAACAAATGGCATTATCTTTATTGCCACAGAGTTCTATATAGAAGAAAGTATTAAATCTAGCTAGTAATATCTAATCATTATTTAAGTCAAGCACATTACCAAGTGCAAAATAATACAGATTAATCACTTATTCATTGAATACTTTTACTAAGCATTTTAAAATCATTTCATGACAAATTTTTATTGAAAATTAAATGGAATAATATTTGTTTATATATTTCTCCTGTTATGTGCTTATATTTGTTAACATTTGGGTTGGGAAAATGTTTTCCTGACATGACATACATATTTAATACTTCCTTATGCATCTTAATCTTTCTATATTTCTTCTTCTTTTTTTTTTCCTGCTATAGAATAATATCTCCAATGGAAAAAGTTTCTAGTGTGTAGGAAACACTATCCTCGCCATGATAGTTGGGTAACAGCGGAAGAGCTGCATTGTAGGAACAACCACTTCCTGCCTTTGATTCTTTGGCTGGGGAACAGGAGGCCAAGAAGGAGCTTGTCCCAGGTTCTCTTCCTCTGCTACCTCCAACTGATCCTCCTCCCATCCCACCTCCATCTCCTACCTTTATTCCCTTTCATTCACTTCTCCAGTACACAGGTCTTGGGGTACAAGCAAAGTGAATCCTCCAATATCGCCCCCCCCCATTCTATAGGAAGGGAGGAATTTCAACAAGATCCAGTGCTGTCAGCTCCTTGTGCTAAAATTATCTAAGGTCCACTTATAAATCTTCTAAGGAACGAAAATCCTAAAAATAATCCAAATATTTTGTAAACAACTTATTTTTTTCTTTCTCTCCCACAAAATTAAAGTGAGTTTGCCACCCAACATGAAAATGGCCTCTTTTTTCTTGAGACTTTCAAAAGAGAAATACTAAGGAACCAGTTTCCCATCACTTTTATAGTCAGGTTTGTGCCTTTCTTGGTGAATCATACATCTTAGTGAAGGGTTTTAAAGAACAATAAATATTAATGATAGTTAACAATTTAGGTGGCAGATAGGGATGAAGGTGCCTGGGTAATACCACTTCATTCAACGTGAAATGTCATGTGACAAAAAGAGAATGACAGTTTTATAATAGAAGCTGTTAATAAAGAACATTATCTTGAAGTTTTTAAAAAATAGCTCAATCACATAGGCAGCTTCTATTCTGAACAAGAAGCCTATTATTACAATACTTATGAAGAAACAGATGTTCCGTTACACTAAATAACACACCCGGCTTCTCATAGCTAGTCAGAAGTAAGGATAAGATTGCCACTCAATTTGTCTAATGTCCCTAAGTTCATGTTTGTTCTAATATGGGGAGTTCTATGGAGGAATCATTTCTGAAATAATTCTAGGATAGAATTTATCCTAGAATCTTCAGAATTTATAATGATTTGAAAACATTGTAACAAGAAGATCTACCACCCCAAATGCTTACCTTATTTTTCACATAATTTCAATCAAGCAGTTCTCAACATTTTAGATTTCCCAGGCCAATTTTCTTCAAATGGGTACATAATATTGCCAACTTGTATTTTGATGGGCAAAGACATTTAAAACATAAAAACAAAAGAAGAAATTAAAAACTAAGTACCATCTATTCTTACATCATTTTATAAAAGACAATTGTAAGAGGGCATTTTAGACCCCCAAATTACAAAAGTTTCTACTAACATACACTGCAGTCCAGGAAAGAATTCTTGGAAACTTTGACACGATGTATAGGTTTCTCAGTTGGTAAAAAACTGGCCAAAGTTGAGCAAATTTGAAAACTCTTGTTTGGAGTTTGCAAATCAATGCCTTTGGGTGCCAGGGAGATAGTGTCAATAAGTGAAACACTTCCATTAAGACAACAGGAATGCTGTGGAGTATGTTGAACTGTGAACAGTGTGAACCAATACAAAGCATTATAAAAACCATCTACACACTGCACCAGCCAAACAAAATATCTAACCATGGACACTGTAGTAATTCCCCATGCATCTTCTCTCCCCATGAGGAAATGCTGTGGCACTATGTGTGTGTGTGTATATATATTTATATATATACACACACACACACTCATACACAATCTTGCTATGGAGCTTGTGGATGTGAGAAAAGAAATTCTGACAATGACGAACATTAAATTTTCTTTCCATCCTAATGGAATGAGACTTAGCTTCATAAAATATTTTGAGTTCTAGAAAATAAGAATGGTATTTTTATGTGCTTCATTTTATAGGCTATTATTTACACTAACTATAAAAATGATTGACCCTGCATACAGCAAATCCCTAACCTGAGCAAGTCTCTTTCACCATCAATTTTGTTTGAAACCACCCCAAAATGTAGGCAATGTTACTGGACTAGACAGAGCTCAAGACCATAGTGCCTGTCCTTCATCATTGCTTCCCCCTCCAATGACAGTCCCAATTAGTTATCCTAGGCAAATTGTGAAGAGCTCTCTGCCATAGCTTTTGTGCCACCACTGTAAGGATTCTCAGGCCTCATATTTACCTAGCACACTATGTATAACTAGAACTTAAGTCTCACATACATTTGTCACTCCTGGAACTTTCTGAAGAATATTTAATCAAGCTACATTTTGGCCTGAGTCATTAGCTTTCAAGCTCTATGAGAAGTCTGGGGTACTTTCTTGTTTCTTTAATGCTAGGCTGATATAAAATCTTCTCTCTTCCTGATCAAAGAAAAATCCAAATTCAAATCCCCCTGATTGTATTTTCCACATGCATCCTATATTTCAGCTATAATTTCCTGTCAACAAGGGCAGTGGTCCCCACAAGTGTCCCCACTATGCTTTTTGAGTTTTTTTGCCTTACTTATTTACTTCCTGAACCACACGGTGCATACTCTCTGGGACTCTGAATTCTAGTTTTTGTTTGTTAGTTTGTTTTGTTTTTTACTTAAAAAAAGTACAAGAGATTGAACTCAGGGGTACTTAACCACTGAACCACATCCCCAGCACTTTTTATTTATAGACAGGGTCTCCTTAAGTTGCCTAGGGCCTCAATAAGTTGCTGAAGCTGGCTTTGAACTAGCCATCCTCCTGTCTCAGCCTCCAGAACTGCAGGGATTACAGGCATGCACCATCACACCTGGCTCTAGTTCTTTCTCATGTTTTACTGCTTGCATCCATCAACCTTCTCCCCACAGAATCCTGGACTCAGAAATAGCACTGAGAAAAACATGGTTTCAATTTATTCTTTATTACTTTAATGTTTAATTATAAGGTTATTTTTTATGTGTTATGTTCTGGCTACTTATTTTCCACTACTTAAACATAAGTAACTTTCAACATACATCTTTACATAGTGGCTAACAAGAAACCAGAAAATAAGAATCAAAAGCATATTGCACATAGTCGACATTTATTCATAAATATCAACTTACAAAGATTTATGTCTCAGAGGCTTCCATGGGTTGACAGAGGGCTGTGACTCAGTCTTTGAACATGAAAAAGGCTAGACACATAGGATATCTTCCACTCCAGTGCTCTTTCCAGTCCATCAAACTGTTTTCCAGACGAATAAATATTTTCTAAAGTCTTCCTAGCGTTCCAGCTTCTAGACATTTATTCCTTCCTCTCCCTACACCATTCCAGCCATAGCTCCTCTTTGTGTTTGTACAATTAATTTCCTCTGAGTCAAAGGGCTCTGTTTACTCTTGTTCACCAGAGAACAAAGACCTGTCTTTGATCCTACTAGAAATGTGTTTCTTAGGAATTTGTTTTTATCTTATAATAAGCTAAGAGGTAATCTGTTTTGGTGTTTTAAATGTATTCGGTTTTCTTATTTCCTTAGACATCTTCTTTTACTTCTTCTGAGTATCTTAAAACAATTTTCCCTTTGGAATCACAGAACCACAATTAGCTCAGAGAAAGATCTAATTCTCAGACTTCTTGCCCATGCCTCTGCAACAAAAGCAGAACCATGAAGATCCATGTCAGCCGTGTTTTCTACCATATGGAAAATCTGAAACTCTATGAACCCCCAGGGGAAAACACTCCAATTTCTTCCATCTTCTAATCCTGAAGTTCTTCCAAGGGACTAACTTGAAATTTTCAACATTCGTTTGGACCCATTTCCATCCTTTTTCCTAGCCAGTATTCTAGATGGGTGCACATAGACATCATGGAAGTTCTTAACAGATTAACCTATATTTACCATTTTAAGACTTTGCTTTTCTTACTCCCCCACTTAGACGTCTTTTGTTTTTTCCCAACCTGTATGAATAAAAGTGTGGACTATATATGAAATGGCTGAAGCTCTATTTCTATTATTAAATAGACAATGTCCCAAATTAGTTTTTTTTTTCCCCAAACCATCTCAATAGCATCAGCCAGTGATACCAACCCGAATCCTCCAGAGAGAATGGGACCACAATGAGTCCCGTGGACTATGACAGCAAAGAGAAAAGAGAGAGACAAGCCCCTGCCCCCGCGGGCCCCTTTTGTGCTGTTCTGCCAACGCAGCAGCCCTCCACTATATAGACCGCCCGCCGCGGCCCCACACACTGAGCTCG